AAAATGACTAATTAAAAGAATACCAATAAGAGATTATTAATCTTAATCAAAATAAAATCAAACAACAATCTGACTTTTAAGTGTTCAATTATAATAAAAACAACATAAATAAAACATGATATAAAAACAGTTTATGAAAGAAGTAAATATTAAATGATTAAATAAATATTAAATGATTAAAGATATATTGATGTAAACTTATTTCAGATGTTTTATATATAAATGATCTATCGATCTGATTGGCGGAGGGTTTTATTTTGAATTTTCTCCTCCAATCGCTGACGAGTTCCAACGCGCGCGCTTTTCTGTGTGGCCCAATGAGCGCTGCCGTCGCTCCGGCAGTCCCTTTATAAAGCCGCCGCCGGCAGTCAGACGGTATTCTTCTCTCTCTGTGAGCTCAGAGCGGATCGATAAGCAACAATGGCCAGAACGAAGCAGACCGCCCGTAAGTCCACCGGAGGAAAAGCTCCCAGGAAGCAGCTGGCGACCAAGGCTGCCCGTAAGAGCGCCCCCGCCACCGGCGGAGTGAAGAAGCCCCACCGTTACAGGCCCGGTACCGTGGCTCTGAGGGAGATCCGCCGCTACCAGAAGTCCACCGAGCTGCTGATCCGCAAGCTGCCCTTCCAGCGCCTGGTGAGGGAGATCGCTCAGGACTTCAAGACCGACCTGCGCTTCCAGAGCTCCGCCGTCATGGCTCTGCAGGAGGCCAGCGAGGCTTACCTGGTGGGCCTGTTCGAGGACACCAACCTGTGCGCCATCCACGCCAAGAGGGTGACCATCATGCCCAAAGACATCCAGCTGGCCCGCCGTATCCGCGGAGAGAGGGCTTAAACTGACCCCAGACCTGTTGGACCAACACACAACGGCTCTTTTCAGAGCCACATAAACTCCCTGAGAGCAGCAGTCCTCAAACACATCTTTATTATTCAATATTAACATTATTATATAGTATAAAGTCTAATATCTCTAATGTACAGTCTGAGGTTAAAGAGGTTGTTTACTGTCACATTCTGCAGATTAAATAAACTCATCTGGTTTCAGTAGCAGTTTTATTGACCAACATGAGTAAATACAAGTTACATTAGTTATTACTTTAAACATTATTGTAACTGAGGAATGTATAAAGTCTTTATTCAGTATTGCATGAACAGAAACAGCTGAGCACAAAGCGGTAAACGCTTATAAAACTGAACAATAACCAACAAGTACAGAAGCAGAACGGCCATGGGTTATTTTTATTTTAATGCACTGTTATCTCGTGATGACGACTTATTTAGTTATCTACATGACAAAGATTGTTTCCTTGTGATAATTAATGTTTGTCTTTACTTATTTCATTATCTCGAGAAAACAAAATAAGTTCCTCACTTTTATTTATTTATATTGTTTATTTATATTGTTTCCTTTGTTGGTGTTGGAAGCTCACTACATTTCCCAGACGTCACTTCAGCAAGCAGCAGAGCTCAATCAACTTCTCCAAAAGTGTTTTTCAGGCAATTCAACTTTACATCATGTGGTTCAGTGTGATGAAGCAGAGAGCAGGAAACTATCTGTTCACTTTCTCCAGAGCTTTCAACCCCATCAGGTGGGGTTCATATACGTCCCCTTTTACTAATAATAAAAATTTAATTTATAGAATGTTTTTCAAGAAATTCAAAGACACCATACTTTAAAGTTCTGGAAAAGCCAGCAAGAGGACTTTGTTTCATTATTAACTCTTCCCACAGTCAATAATTCACTTATGTGTGTGAACATGTTGTCCAACTGTAAACAGGTGTATGATGACACATTGCAGGGACTCCTATAAACCATTAAGAGGCTATTAAGGCCTTGACTGACAGGTTTCTGTCCTTTACCCAAATCTAACTTCCAGCTACAGTCGACAGCAGAAAGCTGCTGAATTGAGCCAAAAATATCAGTTTCCATCACATTGATCTCATCTCAGGGTAATCAATAAGGTATATTTATTAGTTTACAGCAGATCAAGATGTCACATTCAGCCTATTATCAGGCTGTATGCAGTAACATCTTACTAACAGACTGATAAAGATTAATGTAATATATTATAGAGGATGTAGTGATACTTTGTTTAGGAAAGGTTCCCTCCCCAACCTGAGTTTAATTCAGGTTATATAAATATATAAATGTTGTATTTAAGATGGTAAAGTGTGAATAAAGGAAGTTTCTCTTCAGTGGAGGTTGTGTGGCTCTTAAAAGAGCCGTTGGGTCGGTTGAGTCGCTTCTTTACTTCTTGGCGGCCTTCTCGGTCTTCTTGGGCAGCAGGACCGCCTGGATGTTGGGCAGCACGCCGCCCTGAGCGATGGTCACTCCGCCCAGCAGCTTGTTGAGCTCCTCGTCGTTGCGGACGGCCAGCTGCAGGTGCCGGGGGATGATCCGGGTCTTCTTGTTGTCGCGGGCGGCGTTTCCAGCCAGCTCCAGGATCTCAGCGGTCAGATACTCCAGCACCGCCGCCAGATACACCGGAGCTCCGGCGCCGACGCGCTCCCCGTAGTTGCCCTTCCTGAGCAGCCTGTGCACTCGGCCCACCGGGAACTGGAGTCCGGCCCTGGAGGAACGAGTCTTGGCCTTTGCTCTGACTTTACCGGCTCCCTTACCGCGACCAGACATCTTTATTGTTCGGTTTATTTGACTGAATGTAACTCAACGGCGGCGGAACGTGTTTATATAGCGGAGAGCTGCTCGTTCATTGGATGAGCTGAGCGTAAGTTCCATCGTCCAATCAGAACAGAGGACGCCGAGTTCCCGCGTTAACGACAAGGCTTCCGCTTTCACTTGTGCGGGAGTTTCAAAATAAAATCAGAACTTCATTTAAGGTTAAAAACACCAGTGACCAACAAAAATAAAACAAAGTACAAGTAACCTTATAACTTTAACCAAAACTTGATATTTTTATTCATTTTCCAATTTTATATTTTTTATTGATAGTATTTCAATGTTTACACTTTCTCATTATTACACTTTCATATATTTTTGTACATACACGAGCCTGAACTGTACAAAAAGAGAAAAAGTACAAAGCAAAATGAAGCACACAAAACAAACTATGATAATAAAGGAGTTTCAATTTCAATTTCCTTTGGGTGACAATGGTAGGGAAAAGATTTAGACCTTTATTTAGGCCTACACCCTAAAAGAACAACAAAAACAACAACAAAGAAATTATAAAATCAACAAGCAGGGTTCAATGGCACTAACAGTTATAACCCAATATGACTGATGGCAGTTTTTCCATTACATAAATACATTTCAATACAGTTTTTTTTCTTTTTAAACAAATACATTATATTGAATTATATCTTACTTAAGTCATGTTTACAGGTAACTAAGGTATAGTACGTCAAACCAGTATAATATTAATATTAACCCTTTACAACCTTATATATGTCCCACCAAAAGGAATTAACCACATTGTAAAGTCCCAAAAAATGTGATAATGATTGAAACTCACAGAAATGTCTCCAGCAGGTTCGGTCCTCTGACAATTGTTTTTTCTTCTCCACAAACATTTGTACTTATAGAACAAAGTGAGATTGGAAGATAAACAACAACAAATACATCAAAACAAATATTCAACAAACATTTAGAGCAAACAGAAGTTTATATTTTCATACAGAGAAATGTCAAATATCATCATGAGCAGTGATAGCCTCCATGGTTAAACAGACACAGGAAGGAGCTCCAACTAAAGAAACTCAAACATTTACAGAACAAATAATGAGAAGATGTCAAAGTACCGCCCACAATGTTTGATTGACAGGTGATCAATCAGCTCTCATCAACAGAAACAAGATGCTTATACACAGGATTAAATCCCTTAGATGACTTCTGTCTACTTCAGTTTACAGAACTCTAGATGTGGATTCAATATAAGCGAAAACCAAAATCCAGAATAAAACCCAAGTCCAGCATAGAGAGGCTGAGTGAATGTGGTCTGGACTCTGTGGAGGAGAGTCACGGTTTCAGAGATGCTGTAGAAGGACAGAATACCTGCACTGTGATCCAGATACACTCCAACTCTGGAGGACAGAGGACCTGAGACAGGAGTTTGGACATCATTGTACCAAAACGTATAACTGTTGTTGTTACAAATTAAAGCCCAAGATTTGTCATTGTATCCAAACCCACATTCAGCTGAGCTCCCTGCTCTGTTGATATTCTTGTATGCGACTGCTAAACAAACTCCTCTCCCTCTCCACTCCACCTCCCAGTAACAACGTCCACTCAGACTCTCTCTACTCAGGACCTGCCACCATCCAGTGAATCTGTCTGGGTGACTAGAATAAGACTGATGTTGATTCATTAATGTTGCTTTTCTGTTCCCCTCAGATAATAACAGCTGTGTGTTTGCTGTGTTTGGATCCAGTGTGATTTCATGTGAATATCTTAAGAATCCAGCTCTGGTCTTGGGCTCTGGTTGTGGCAGTAAAACATCCACTTCAGTCACTGTCAGTGAGACGTTTGTCCATTTCTCTCTCAGAACGTCCTGTAGTTTATCTCTGAGCTCTGAAACAGCCGCTGTCACATCCTCAAAGTACCTCAGAGGACGGATATTGATGCTGGATGTAGATTCACTGAGTGCTGACAGTGAGGGGTAGTTGTGTAGAAACTGGTTGTGGTCCTCTGTGTGTGACAGCTTCTTCATCTCAGCGTCTTTCCTCTTCAGCTCAGTGATCTCCTGCTCCATCTTCTCCTGAAGCTCTTTGACTCGACTCACTTCAGTTTCCTGCTGGGATCTGACCTGCTGCTTCACATCAGAGCTTCTTTTCTGGATGAGACTGATCAGCTCAACGAAGATCTTCTCACTGTCCTCCACTGCTTCATCAGCAGAGCGATTGATAGCCTCCACCTGCTGTTGAAGCTCCTTCACATCTTTCTCTCTGTCCTGGATTCTCTGCTGGATGTTTTGTCGACTCACCTCGAGCTCTCTCTGCCTCTCAGTCCTTTCTGCTGCAGCTGAGACTGTGTCGTGGCCTTTATGTTCATCCACAGAGCAGAGATAACAGATACACTGCTGATCAGTACGGCAGAACATCTTCATCACCTCATCATGACGAGGGCAGATGTTCTCCTGGAGCTTCTTGGAGGGGTCCACCAGCTTGTGTTTCTTTAATGGAGCTGCATCAAAGTGACGCTGGAGGTGTTTCTCACAATAAGAGGCCAAACAGACCAGACAGGACTTGAAGGCTTTCAGTTTTCTCCCAGTGCAGACATCACAGGACACATCTTCAGGTCCAGCATAGCAGTGATCAGCAGGAGCAGCTTGGAGTCCAGTCTTCTTCAGTTCCTCCACTAAAACTGCTAACATGGTGTTTTTAACCAGGAGAGGCCTCGGTATGAAGGTCTGTCTACACTGAGGGCAGCTGTGGATTTCCTTCTCATCTTCTCCATCCCAGAAGCTTTTAATACAGTTCATGCAGTAGCTGTGTCCACAGGGAATAGCCACCGGATCCTTCAGTAGATCCAAACAGATCGAACAAGAGAAGGTTTCTCGGTCCAGCTGAACTCCTTTCTGCGCCATTTCACCTCTCAGTCACAACGACTGTCTGAGTTTCACTTCCTTATAAATGAAACTAGTTTGATCTCTGATCTAAACAACATGTGTTTCTGCAGCGAATGGGGCCTGTCGGCTCTTTCACGTCACCACATGTTGGTTACACCCATCCTTCAAACTGTAGATCTAAAGGGGAGGGAACAAGGAAATATGTGGACAGAGTGAAGCTCGCTGTGTTTGAGAGCAGGAAGAAGAGGGAGGAGTTATCAAGCTGTGATTCAGTCCAGGAAGAGGAGCCACTGTGTTGATTTTTCTGTTTTAAATAAACTTTATTGAGATTTCACATGAGAATATTACAAGAGTTTCACAATAAAGTTCATCCAGTGTCAAAGTGCATCAGAAAACATGAATAAAGTGCTCATGAACCAGAGTACAAAGGAGTTGGAGGTCTTAAAAATGTTTTCTTCCCCATTTATTTTACAGATTTTAAAAACAATTGATAACTCAATGAAATTACATAAACAGTCTGAATTTCCATGCTAATTTATAAAGAAAGTCATTTTTCCCAACATTAAAAAATTTAAAATTAATTTGCAAATCTATAATTTCTTTTGTGGATATCAACTGATTAATTAATTAAACTTAAATTCCAGTTTAATATTATCAATACATTTCTATTATGTGAAATTTTAACAGTAACAAAATTTGTATTCTATATATTTACATGGATTTGTTTAATTGACAGATATATATTGACAGTTTTCAAACAAATCAAACATTTAAGAGTACAAGAATTTTTAACTGTCAGTTTTAATCACTAAAAGCAATAGTTATCACTTTAATCAGCAATGTTCAAAGTTGCTATTGATTTTATTAGTTTAATATAAATATAGCAACTATTTTTACAGTATGTGTGTAATCAGATATTTAATATAATAAAAAAATCCTGGAGAAACTGATAATATAGTTAATAACCTTCAGTATAAAGATAAATATAATATAGAACAGTGACTGTCGCCACCTTGTGGTGAAAATAAATACTGTACCTTCAATTTCAGATCAATACCCATTGATAGCATTAATCTATAATTATAGGCAGTTAAATGAAATCGATCCTTTATAAGTGTTTGTATTACTACAATCTTTTATAACATAAATCACCCAGAATAAAAACGATGGGACTATTTTACCGCACAGAGAATTAATGATTAACTGTTTAATAGATTAAAATATTTTCATTATATAATTATCACATTAATATAAATGAAACCAGCTCCACAGCTTTGTGTAAACATTAATCTTCCAGGACTTTGAGCTCTTGAGTTGAAGCGGTGTGTGGCTCTTAAAAGAGCCGTTGTGTTGCTGTTAACAGCGGAGGGTTTTTACTTGGAGCTGGTGTACTTGGTCACGGCCTTGGTGCCCTCGGACACGGCGTGCTTGGCCAGCTCCCCGGGCAGCAGCAGGCGGACGGCGGTCTGGATCTCCCTGGAGGTGATGGTGGAGCGCTTGTTGTAGTGAGCCAGACGGGAGGACTCACCGGCGATGCGCTCGAAGATGTCGCTCACGAACGAGTTCATGATGCCCATGGCCTTGGAGGAGATCCCGGTGTCGGGGTGGACCTGCTTCAGGACCTTGTACACGTAGATGGCGTAGCTCTCCTTCCTGCTCCTCCTTCTCTTCTTGCCGCTCTTGGTGACCTTAGACACGGCTTTCTTTGAGCCTTTCTTCGGGGCCTTGGCGGGTTCAGGCATGTTCTCTCTCAGTCAGACTTCCTCAAACGGATAAACTCACAGCGAGTGAACTCCCTCTTTATATGCGCTCGATGCAAATGTCACTGTGCTGTTGCTCGCACACGATTGGCTGAGCTGTCGCGTTCGAAACTGAGCATGCGCAGACGTAAAATAACGGTTTCATTGTTTATATTTATTTCGAACAAGTAAAAGAAGAAAGAAATATTAAAAACAAGACAAAATAACATTAAAATAAAATGAACAACAACATTATACACACTGTCAATTAATAAATCCTTATCAATAAGTTAAGTCTCGCATATTCAAAAAGGAGGAAGTATACGGAAATATTGATTTATTATTGATTGGAGTTATTATATATCTTTAAAGGCTATTCTAACTATCCAGATATACAATTAAATTAAAATAATTTTTTTAAAATGGCTCACTTTGGCTTACTTTATATGAAAAGTTTAAAACAATAGAAAATAACATCAATGATAAAATGTTTTGCATCAAGCAGAGACATATGATGATTGATTAAACTTTATTAACATTACTAACATTATTGACTTTATTCTGTTTAGTCTAACATGTATTAAATTTTAATCTGTGATCTACAAAGTGGTCTTAATCTGAAGAAATTATAATTATTACAATAAAATGTTGGTTTGTAGTGTTTTTTTTACTAAGTAGCTCTACAACAAACTATATTTCTTTCTATGGTAACTTTAATCAACGTCTAATATCCTGCTTCAAAATGTGGGTGTTTTATTTTGAAATAAAAGTCCTGTGGTCTCCTTCAGGCTCCTGAAAAAAAAAAAAGACTTTGATATTAAAAGTACAATTTCTTTGGAGATCTGCATTTCCTTAATCTTCAGTTTCAGAGGAAACTTCCAGGTTAAGACTTCAAATCAAAGGATTAAAAAACCTTCAGCCTTAAAAGGAAAAACACCCAAATGTCCTAAAGCCTTCAACGGCTCGTCGTTTAAAGAATCAGACTTTATTTAGTGAATATGAACATTAAGCTGTGGTCGTTTCCCATTTTTATAAGACATAATTTATTCCATAATTGGCACTTTTAGCCAATTTATATTAAAAATAGAACAATGTTGTCGACCTGTGGAGTAAAAACACATAATGAAGTCTGGATTTCACATTTAAAATAGAAATAAATTAAGAGATGAGTGTTTGAATATTTATTTATATTTACACATTTACTTTTTAAAACTTTGTGTTCCCCTCCGATTAAACTTCAATCTAAATAATAATTATTATTTATAGAGAATCTTTTAAAAACAGTTTGACAAAGCACAATAATCACCGTTATACACAAAATGTAATTAAATATTTAAATCAAGAAAAGCAAAATACAATAACAGCAGAAGAAAAGCCAGTTAAAAAATAAATAGAAATCACATAAAAGCCTATAAAAAAATTTGTTTTTAAGAAGCGATTTAAAAGAATAGATACTAAAAAAAGAAACTTTAGTAACGTAACGTGTGTACGACTGATTTAATGTTAACAAACAGAATATTACATCTTTAATTGACGCCCAGATCAGCCAGCTTGGATTTCGAGGTCGGGGGTTGGCGAGGTTCTTCCCGCTTTCTTCGGGTGGCGCCGTAATACCTCCAGGGCGAGATAATTCCTCTAAAAATTGTACACATGTTCACACAGGAGGCAGGTTTATTCTCAATAATGAGATTATTTATTATCTACTGATGTTGAATCCTGAGTGGGAAAGTTATTAACGTCACATTCAGGCTGATATTGAAACCAAAACGTTACGGGAAACTTATTTTAAAGATTACTTTACCTAGCAGTTTGAGAATCAGTGTTTTTTTTTTTTTTTTTAAGTTTCAGTTATTATTAAACTCAATGTATGAAACTACTTTATTTATTAGTTATTGCAGTTTCTAGGTCAAAATAGTTCAAGTTAAAGTTGCATTTTGTTCAGAAAAAGCCCCAAAAAATAACAACACCAACAGACAGCGGCTCCTCAACAGTGCCTAAATCTTTATTTTTCAGTAAGCTACATTTTTTTTCTCCAAATTAGACAGTTTTACATCATGACACAGAGTAACTTAAATTATCTATAGCTGACATGTACGCTTGATTCCAGTCTCGATGGAAGAATAGACCCAAATAATAACAAAAAACCCCCCAAAAACAATAAAAAGAAAGCCCTCTTGAAACGCAACCTCCTTTCCACATCTGTTAAAGGTGTCGTTAGGCAAAAATAATAATAATTATAATCTGTCCAAACCCCAAAACGCGATGGAGTCATCGATTGTCCACAGCGGTTAGCGTAGCACGGTGAGAGTGTTAATGAGTTAAACCACAGTGAGTTGATAAAGAGATCTTGTTCCAGTCAGTTGGTGTGCATTCGTTATTATATCTTTAAAAAGGAAAGAAGTTTGTTTTTATGACAAGATGCAACCCTCGAGGAGAAAAAAAAAAACAAAAACAAAAACAACAATGGCACTGTCAAACGACGGGGGGCGAACAGGAAGGAAGGAGACCGAGAGCTGAGGCGACCCGACAGGCTGATATGAGGTGTGACGCTCCGTGTACGAAGTCCATGAGAGAAAAGGAAAACGCCGCGACGCGAGCGTTTAATGCCGGCGGTACAGGAGAGGCGTGCAGAACTTGGGGCCGTCTTTCCCGCCCAAAAAAACAAAAAACAAAAACAAAGAGATCCCTTCAAAACAAAAACAAACCTCATCCAGTCTGAGGTCTTTCAGGAAGGAGTCACAACCTTTTGCATCGGTCTGGATTTCCCCCCCCGGCGGTGGCGGCGGGGTCGGTTGGTACATTTATTTATTCCACACATGCACACATTCACAGTTCAGGGATCGCCCCCCCAGTTTGTAATCAGCGTCTGTGTTTTACCGCGTCTCAAAAAAAGTTTTGAGGTCAAACATGCCTCGACCTCGGGCGGCGGGGTTGGTTGGCGGCGAGGGATTCGACCGCCAAGTTGCAACGCACGAAAAAACTTCTCCTAACAAGTCAGTGGTGTCACTTTGTAGATTTCTCCAGATGTGAGAAGTCTTTTTTTTTCTTCTTCTTCTTTTGATGGACTTTCAGTAACAACATCTCAAAAATAAAATACAAAGAATAAACACACATAAAAAGCCCGAGATGAAGCGCTCAGCTATGTACAGGTTTAAACTGCCCAGTCAAAACAAAAACAAAAACAAAAACAAGTCGTATAATGGCACAGTTATTGGTTTGCAGTCCCACATGTGATCAAATGGTTTATTTATTATTTTTTTAAACATTTTAATCTGCGTATGTTAATGTACGTTATGTGCCAGAAACACATGTAAAAAAACAACAACAAACAAACAAACTGTGATTCCAGTTGAGCCCCTTTGCTTCTGCACCCCCCCCCCAAAACAAAAACAACAACAAACAGAAAAAAAATGAAATTATTTGTACATTTTATTTCTCAGGAAGAGGAAGTGATGAAAGCTGAAGAACAAACAGAGTCAGAAGGAAAAACACTGAGCGAACCGTTTTATTTTGGATGTCTCGTCTGGTACCTGCAGCGACACTCGAGGTCGGTCGGTCGGTCGGTCGGTCGAGAGACTTTCAGCTCGACCGACGACAACAACAACATTTATTCTGCGTCTTAAAGAAATGAGACCGCCTCGAGTGTCGCTCGCTGTACAAGCACACATCAGATCGCCTCGCTGAAGACAGAAGACAAAACTGGGACGTGTCCATCAGGCATCGCTCTTTTTTGTGTTTGTTTTTTTTCATCGTTTTTTTTTAAACATTGTTTTTTTGTTTTTTTTTTTAAAGCCGGCTAGAGGAGCGAACGGTACCGACGTCAGCGCGCCGATACGTGACGAGAGAGAGAGAGAGAGAGAGAGAGAGAGAGAGAGAGAGAGAGAGAGAGAGAGAGAGAGAGAGAGAGAGAGAGAGAGAGAGAGAGAGAGAAGTGCTGCCAGTTGTTGTATTTTGGAATTTCTTTTATCGGTTCGTCTGAAAAAGCTCAAACTTCCTGTAGTTTTCTGTCCGTAAGAGAAACCGTTTCCCAAATTTATCTTCGGAGCAAAAAGAAGTGACACCAGGGACAATCCGCCCCCCGACGACCTGCTCAGATTAGACCGTAAATCATCATTTAAGACCCAAGTCGGGATAATTTCAACGTCCAATTTGAACAAAAGATAAACAACTACATCTCCCATGAGTCTTAGCTACAGATACACTATCGGACGCTCGCAGCTCGGGATGGTATCGAACCTTAAACACACGTCGGGTTAAATGACCAAAAAAAAAAAAAGTTTTGAAGAAAATGTGTTTACGTATTTATAAAAGTATCGATACCGAAACGCCGATATTGGGGAGCTTTAGCTGGTGTGTGCTAACCAGAATTAGCAATTTTTAATCTTTGGATTACGACTTCCGACCGAGTCAGCGTTTGCTTTGTCCCTTCTGGGCTACCGTAGAAACACGGCGACCTCCTTAAACACACTTACACAACAACAAGCTGTAATTTTAAGTAAAAAAAACAAAACAAATTCAGCCTTTTCAGAGAAACCGATAACAGAAAAAAACCTCGATTAGAAAACACATTAACGTGTTTTTAAAGGTTAAAAAAATAAAACTAAAAACGGCAGAACTTCAGCTCTCTACTGTCCTATTATTAATATTGTTTATTAAGATATTGTCTAGTCATGCTGCCCACCTCATGTGGACACAATGCAGTTTGATTATATACTGTTGAGTTGCATAATGTCAGAATCAATCACGGTATAACATCGATGTTGAGTATTAGTGTCATGGTCTACACGAGGCTAACCCCCCCCCAGCTCTGAAACTATTACACATCCTGTTGGAAAACATTAAATACTTTAACGCCTTTTTTTTAAATTACTTTTTAAACTTACATCTATTAATTAATCTCGGTATTATAACAGTAGTATTTTAAAGATAGAAAAAGATCCTTTGCTGTTTGTTTGCACAGTGACGACTAAAAAAACTCCGACATGTAGTGATTTTACAGCTTCAGCATTCAAACTTCTTGATCCGCGTGCTTCTAAACAAACAAACAAACAAACAAACAAACAAACTCAATAAACAGTCAAATCAAAATTTGTAAAAAAAGCAACAAAAACGCAGCCAGAGCTTTAAAAAGAGGATGTCGGTGGACACGCAGCTTTGTAAGGTTCGTTAAGAAGATGCTCGTCGGTACCAATTAGTGCACAGTGTGGGGAGGGAAGAGAGGGAGGAAGAGGAGGAGGAGGAAGAGGAGGAAGAAGAGGGTCCACCCAGATGTGACCGACCATAATATGGAATGAAAAGACAACAAATAAACAAAATGTACAATCAGACGACCTGTCCAGCGGCAGCGTGGAGCAGGATTCAAACTCTGCACAACCCAAAAAAAACTTTAAAAAATAAAAACAAATTAAAGAAAAAAATAATCTTTTTTTTTTTGTTTCTTCCTCTTATATCCTACATCCAGCCCAAATAGCGACATTAATAGTTCAACAAGATCAATATAGTTTTTTTTTTTCTATAATCATTTTAAGGTACCTCTTATATTTTTCTGAGTATTTACAACTGTACAAGCAAAAGCACACACTTCAAAGTGCACAAATTTTAATACAGTATTGACTAGTTTTGCATTTACATGGTTTATATTTTTCCCCGAAAACAAAAAAAAAAAGAAACAACCTGAAACTATTTAAACAAAAAGAGAACAAATTATTCTTTTCGTACATTTTTTTTTTTACAAAAACACAAAAAAAAAAAAAAGGAAGAAAAACATTGCTGCTCGATTTGAACTTTCTCCGTAAAGACTCGTGACGTTTCGGTTCAGCTAAATATTTTCCACGTGTCACGTTTCGTTTACATTGTTGGGGGGTCGGAGGGGGGGATTTTTTTTTTTCTGAAAAGAAATAAACTCTATGCTTGTCTTGTATAAAAGTTAAGGCAAAGTCATTTTTCAAGTTTAAATAAAATTCAAGTTTCTCAAACACTGGATGGACATTTTTTTTTTGTGGTTTTTTTTTGTTGTTTTTTTTCCAACATTTTGCTTTTAGAGACGTCGACGCATCTCTATTTTATTTTTCTTCTCCCTAAAAAACAAAACAAAACTTTAACGATATTTCTCATGGAATAAACAGCATTGGTTTATAAATAAGTGGATATGGTTCATTTTTCTCTCTCTTTTTTTTTTTTAAACCAATTTCCACCAATGAGAAAGAAAATAAAATTAAAAAAAAAAAAAAAAAAAAATCGACCCATCCAAGTGCATCTCAGTCCTTCAAAATAAAACAAAAAATAAACAAACTCAAAAGATTTAGCGTCCAAATCAAAAGCAGCTATGAGCAGGAGTACAGGCTTTTAAAACGTTTCCCTTCTTCAGACGGGCTCCTGTTTTTCCTCTTAGTGGGATTACCCAGAATAATTCTTGTTGCAGGAAGACTTCGGCGAGACATGCGAGGTCCCATGTCGCTCCCTCCCCCGAACAGATATTGTGTATAGTACAGTGGGATCGTTTTTTTTTATTTATGCGACAACTTTTTAAAAAGATTAACCGAAGCACACGACTGACGAGCAGGAAGGGAAACTCAAAACTTCACTTTATAATTACAGTTTTATCGTTTCTAACCTCGAGTGCCAATCGTTCTTACTATCTCCCCGGGCCGATTACATCTTGAGGAAACCGTAAAACAACCCAAGAGTTGGTTGGTTATCTGCCAGAAGTGGCTGCTACAGTAGACGGACCAACCCAACACAAAGCTCACAGAGTTTCCTCCCCAGCGTCTCCATCGTTTTGCTGCTTCACTCGAAAGGAATCGAGTCACAAGCTCTCGGCGCTGGTTGATTAAATCCCCCTCCCCCTCGTTAAAGCCTGTATCTGTGTGGTTGCTATTGCTATAGCGTCCTCCATCAGTCGGCTCGAGGTGAGTTTAAAAAGGATGTTTTTTCCTTCAACTCTGTGCTTTAAATTTAAACTCCTCTCAGGTAATTTATCCCCGAACGACACAGGAGTGAAGCAGGCCAAGTGTGCTTTGGTCAATCTTTATTTTATTTAATATTTAAGTGTGTGTGCGCGCGCAAGTGCAAATTTAAAACTAGGAGGAAACTGACGAGGGACAAACAATAAATGTGGTAAAGCCGAGGAAACTCAACCTGCTCGTCTGACGTTTTTGGTTCAATGACGTTCACGTGAGCCTTCGACGAGACTCCCAACAAAATCTCTTTCACACTCCCAACGTGGCAAACTACAAAAAAAAAAAAAACCTTCATCGGATTAGTTTTTTTTTTTTTAGTAAAATCTTTCTACTCAACCGTCTCACTTTCCTTATTCATCAAACACTCTTTCAATGAAACTCCTCACTGATACAGAACCAAAAATACTCAACAACAAACCACTGCATTCGCCTGCTAACAGCACAAAACTCCCTCAGCAAAACAACAAAACAACAATCAGCATCCGTAACAAAAATATATATAAACGAGCTGGACGACTCTGTAAAGTCATGTGACGCTGCCTGAACGTCCGTCCTTCACTACAGTGTGTTCAACAGGCATCCAACAAGGCAGAAAAGCTTCAGCGGGTTGCGTCTACGGAGGATGGCGTGGGGGGGGGGGGGAACCTCTTCCCTTGACTTTAAAAAAAAAAAAAAAAAGATAAATTCCCTTTTATTTTCTTTGTTTCCGCTTCAGGTAGGATAATCAAACATTTGCCCTCCGAGTCCGAGAAAACACAAACAGTGCAAACAAAGTTCTGGAGATGTAAGTCTAGTTTTTCTTTTTTGTTTTTAGGCGTCGAGATGAGCTGCGATAACTGCGACTCCAGGATTTTGACGTCTAGCACCATATCTAGAAGAAAAATAACTAGAAAAAAAAAAAAAAAAATAAACACGCCGCCCCCCGATTGAACGAGAAACATCTCTGTACCAAAAAGCGCCACGCTGAACTCTTTATCGGTGCGTTTTTGAAAGAGTCATTGTCGTCTCAGCAGATATTCAGAACGAGTGCTGCCACCGCCTCCTCCTCCTCCACCGCCTCCTCCTCCTCCTCCTCCTCCTCCTCTTATGGCAGTTAGTTACAGGTCACAGCAGATCTGAATGGAAGCTAGTGTTCATTTCCTTCCACCAGCGTTTCCCCCGACCTCCCCGCTTCAGACGAGGAGCTGACGTCGCCATAATCTCATTATTCTTTTTTAAATCTGCCTTTTCCTTTGACATCGCGTTGCCTGCTGATAAGTTTTATTCCACAGTTTTGTTTTTGTTTTTGCGTTGCAGCTGAGAAAGCTTCCCAAGAGTTCCCAAAAGAAACACACACACTGCGAGCAACAAAAAAAACCCACTTTTCCACAAACATTTTGGCCAACAACACGTGCCATCGTTGCCTAATTTGCCTTTTTCGGTTGCAGATATCCCGTCTGACGCTTAAAACAGCACTCACATCTCACATCCGCCCGCCAGAGGCAACGCAGCTAGAGAGTTAGCAGTGTAAGCAAGTAGTAAAAAAAAAAAAAACAACGGCAGAGAGGGAGGTGATTCTTTACAGATGATCAGAGGAAGAAAAAACCCAGCGGTAACTTCACCGACAGTCGACGTACAAAGCTGGACAACAAACAAACAAACAAACAAACAAAGTCAATCTAGTGTAAATAAATCTGCAAAAAGAAAGTTCACTTTGAGGCGATGTAAACCAAAGGATCCGAGTCTTGTTTGCGATGAGATTTTTAGAAGAAGTTTTGCATATGGATGTGAAATATGTATTAAAAAATAAACACATCTGCTAATTATGACCCATAATTAAGCTACATAAAGTCGCACAACAGTGCCACTCAACATGCACACAAACCCCTGACTATGAGAGCCAACACAAGGTGGAGTCTGTTGTACGCACTCTCTCCCATCATCCACTGGGGGCGGGGGGGGGCGGCGAGGAGGGCACAACAATGCCCCCGCTGCTTCGCACACACACAAGACTAACTTTATCCCACAAGGCCATTTGGACAGAATGAATAAATTTCAGTGTTGTCAACTTTAAAGAAGACACAACTACGTAAAGCAAAACAAAAAAAAAAAAACAAACAAAAAGAGAGAAAAAAAAAAAAAAGGAGAAATAAAACTGAAAATTAAAAGAAGAAGCAAATAAATATAGTAAAAGAATGAAACGGTGCTCTACATGCACAGTAAAGTGCTTTTTGTCTGCAAGCCCTGATCCAGAAAAGAAGGCGTCCTCTATGCTCGTTTGTGAACTGGTGATTCTGGGATATAAGTATTGAGTAGCCCTGACTTATATTTCCTTTTTTTTTTTTATACTTTTTAAACGCATCTGTGGAGTTTAGTCGGGGGGGGGAGGACGCATGGGAGGGGGGCAGGGAAGCGCTCCCTTTACTGCGGGGACTTGGGCGGGGTGTGGTGGGGATCTTTGCTGGGGTTTTTCCCTGGGTGTGGGGGCGGGGAGGCCCACCGCCCGGCCGGCCTCCGGGCGTCCCTCGGGGGTCTTCCCGGGGTGGCCGAGCCGGGTTTGGAGGAAGTGGGGTATGTCTCTCTGGGCTTGGCCTCCCCCGGCGGGATGGCGGCGGCGGCGGCGGCGTCGGGGCACTTCCTCTCTTCGCCTGCGGGGGCGGCGCAGGCTGGCTTGGCTTCCTTGGGGGTCGGCGGTTGCTGTAATGTCGGGGCGTCCTTCACCCGCTGGCAGATCTCGGCGTAGGAGGGCTTCCTCAGCTCCTGGCAGGAAAACAACAACAACAACAACTGAGTCATAAAATGTTACCCAGCATGCACCTGGAGGCCCGTCACTCCGTGCAGCGCTCAGCAGGAAGCCTCTTTGTGGGTGAGCGATGACATCAGAGCCCACACGACCAAATATAAACGCTGTGTATATATTCTACATCACCAAGTGAGCTGGACGACTGTTTATCTTGACAGACGCTCGTTAATCCGCCAACTTACAGGCGGCGGATTAATACAAAGTTTGTATTTTTATGGTTTTATTAAGTAAATTAAATTTTTTAGATGACAAACGACTCAGAGGTTCAAACCCCCGGCAGCACTGATGTGTTTAAACCCACATTTGTAGATACTCTGCTGCATCTTATATCACATTTCTAGCCTCTTCTTACAAGCCCTTTGGGGGGGGGGGTTCTGCTCACACCTACATAATCCATCTTTCTATCAACATATTTCATCAGCTGAAGGTTTTTACTGCTACAGCCGAGAGCGAGTTTCAGCCGTAGTGAAGCATTACTGCCTAAACCAACCTAAAAGGCACCGTTTGCTTCAGGTACTTGTTGTTGACCAACCAGTTCACTGACTTAAAACTTTCCTTTAAACTGTTACCTGTATCTTTCCCCCCTCCCTCCGAGGAGGAGGTGTGAGAAATGAACTTACCTGCAATCAGAATCAATATGAGACGGAGCAGAATTAAAGCCCCGATTAATTTACCTCCTTTTTGTTCCCGCTGAAATCGATCTGTCTGTGATTGAGATGTCTGAGAGGAGGTAAGCATTAAAAAAAAAAAAAAATCAATACTTACTGTGGCAGCACCGTTGACTTGCACTGATTTGCTTGCAGTGGACAGAGTGCCGGGAACTCGCTCCACAGACAACTGCACCTCCTTCGGCTTCACCTCCGTCGCCTTCGCCTCCCTGAAATAAGAAATTAATAAAAAAAGGTGGTGAAACGTAACAGCCAGGCTGACTCGAGTGTGAATTACATGATAACGGCACAGAGGTCGTCTGTCTGTCAGTAATAATGTGAGAAAACCTCCTTTGAACAGGAAGAAAGAAAACAATCAAGATCATGAAATTGCTGCTTTTCTGGTAAACAACATTATCCTGATGCTTTTTCAAACACGACTGGCGACACAGTTCTTATAAACCTAGATTTATCTTGAAATTACCGGACTGCAGGAGTCGCTGTGTGCGCCTCCCGCACTCGTCCCTGCTTCCATACTCTCAACTTCTGCTGCTGAATACTAACACAGATGTAAAAAGCTCTGCATGGTGCACTGTAGTAGTGCAGTATAAGTGGGCACAGGTAATCTGCAGCCTCTCTCTTCTGTTGCTACGACTCCTCAACGTGAATCAAACTCTGAATTTAAAAACAAACCCACACAGCTGCTACCCGACCACAGTGGATTATAAAGTCTACTTACAGACCCTGCGTTACATCTCAGATTCAACACTGTCAGTGTGGTTTTCTTACGCTGCTGGGAGGGAGGGGGCGGGACTGTGCGGCGGGCCGGCGGCCGGGGTCAGGGGCGGGGCCGAGGCCGGGGTCGTCGGGGTCGTCGGCGAGGGCTGGAAGCTTGTGGGCATCGGGGAGGCGGAGGACCGAAGAGGCTCTTTGGGGCCCGCTGGAGAGAGAGCTCCACCGGTACTGGAGTCAGCACTTACATTCTGCAAAGGAAGAGATTTAAAGTCTCATCGATCAGTTTACTTTAGTTTTAATTGATTATGATGGCAATTTAAAGACTTATTTTACGTCCATACTGGCAAAAAAATTATCTCAACACTCGTTTCTGGGAAATTTGTCTTATTTTTTGTCTTTAAAAGAAAAATAATTTTGTTTTAAGAAATTAAATCTTAACAAGATATTACAGCTAATATTGAGCTCAATTAAACCAGTATCAAGTTACAACAATTGGTTTGCATAATTAATAATTATTTATTTTACCTTATTTTAAGAGTTAAAACAACTTACATAACTTCTCAGTTTAAGAGAAAGTCGTCTCCTCCCAGTGTTGGAAATTGTTTTAATAAAAAGTGATAAAAATAAGAATGTTTCTGGTGCCTTTATTTAAAATTCACTTATTGCTGTTTTAAGAAATTATGTCTTTTTACTAATTATTAATCTTAGCTTAAGGTAGAAATACAGTGATCTTAAATAACATTGATATCATTACTTATAATAAAATAATTTAGCCGTCTTTAACTTGATGCCATTTATAAAAATTACAACAATAAAATGTTACATTGGATTATGATTCAGGATTATTGTGGGAATTTATTTATTTATGAAAAAGTAAATTTGTGATGCAGAAATAATTAAAACCATCTGAGATCTTTATCAAACTACAAAACTTCATTATAAAGCCGTTTGTCACATTATATCTTCATCAAAACATTTCAGCTTCTGAGATTTTGATACTATTAGTTAATGGTTCTTAAATAATAGTAAAATAAACACCAGCATTAAAACTAATGCAAAAACCAATTATTGAAACTTTAAAGGCTCCAAATTTAAAACAGAAACTAACTTTTTGCCACTCAAGCATCCAAAGGCGAGTTTAGAGGCATAAAAACAGGAGGAAACTCTCACCGGCACTTTTATGAGACACATAAGGAACATTTAAAAAGAAAAAGTGGTGGAGGAACTTAAGTGATCTGTCTGGATCATATATAGAAAAACACTGATGTTCCAGGAGCAAGGTCATTTAAAAACACACGGTAAGGAAGGTAAATATAATGTTTTAAAGTGAAGACACGACGGCGAGCGGGCTCCGTTTTAGCGTCAGTCCTCACCCGTTCCTTGGCGGTCCCGACGACGACGCTGCTGGCCAGCCGGTTGTCGAACACGTCGTCGGTCTTGAGCTGGCCGGCTGCTCCGGGGAGGGGAGGGAAGCTGGAGAGACCCAGCTCGAAGCTCGGAGACGGGGGTTTGGGAGGCGGAGGCGGCGACTGAGGCGTCACTCTCTACACGTTGGCGGAAAACAGACACACAGAGTCAGCAAACGAACTACGAGCAAGACGACAGGGCGTCTACTACCACGGAGTATCAGGGACAGATTAAGAGACATTTATTTTTCTCGTAATGTTACAACTTTATTCTTGTAATTTCCAAAATTGACAACTCCGTCGTAGTCTACACGCTGAGACTACGCTGAGAGCGTCATTGTTTATTACTTTATATTAAATCATGTAAACATTAAAAAACAGACTAAGACACCAAAAGAAGTTACTTACTGTAAACTTTTCGTCCCTCTTTTTCCTAGAAGCAGAAACATTTTTCCTTTAAGAAAGAGAACACTTCAATTTACAAACATCCGTTCTGACTGAAGCAATGACTCAACCGTACACAATGTAAATAAAACCCCAAACAGATCTGAAGAGCTCCATTTTATAGAGTTATCTCCTGGTTCTTCCACACATATAAAGACTTACTTTCTCCTTCGTTTATACTATAAAATAAACTGTAGGTTGCTCAAGCAGCCGACAGCGTTTCTACACTTTTATTTATCCTGAATATTATAATTAAATAGTTTTTAAACATTCCTACTGGAGGATAAATTATGTTGGATCAGACACAATAACCCGTTAGCTGCCTCTAAATGTTGTTTTCTAATGAGTAAAGCAGACATATTGATCATCAGCCCAGTTTAAAACATAAAGCTGGTTGTCATCACTTTTATTAGAAACTAAAGCTCTGACAGCGATTACGTTTACATGCACACTAATGTTCCTTTACTATTTCTATAATATAACAATAGTACTCATTTAATAACAGTGATGTTAACATTGTATTCGGTTTGGATCTCTCATATTAGGCCTTCCGATGTGCGATATGCCGATATTATTTAGGTTTCTGGAGCTCTTGCCGGTTCACGGTCAGTAAACAAAGCCCACGTTTCTGGTAACGTAGAAGGAGAAACCTACTTTTAAACCTTATGAAAGACTTCTGCGGGTTTTTTTAAATATGTGTAAACGTCACAACAATGTCACTGTGAACTTGTTCAGCTTGTTTTTAGTGACACTTTTAAAAAAGACCCTACTGTTTGTTGTATTTACTGATTTACATATTAACTACACAGCGCGGTACCGTCATTGAGCCACATTCGAGCAGTGCCGTACCTTCCTCTGCCGATACCCAGAGAGTAGTCTGTGGTCGAGGGCTCGGTGACTCGTCCGGTGCCCACGGTGTCCCTGCGCGGGAAGGCGGAGGTGGAAGGTAACCTGGTTCGGGGCTGGCTGGTTGGGAGTCGCGTCGGCGGACTGCTGCGGACCCCGTTGAGCCTCTCGCTGGGGAAGCTCGGGAAGAGGCTCGGGTTGTCCAGAAGCCCGGCGCTGCGGTCCGCTGTCGGGATGGTCGGCCTCAAGTGAGGTTTACTGTGATTCCTGCGGGGAAACGGTAAACACTTGAGTCACAACAGGTCTGAAAATATTCAACCGTATTCAGGACCGACAGCTCGAGTGATTCAAGTTGAGAACAAAACATTTTAAAGCTCTTCTACTCCTCCTACTCCACCACCCTCTCATCAGAAAGCTTCACCACCACTATAATTATAAAGACAACACTTTGTTTCCCTCCCCGTGGATTAACAGCGATCTTATTACTCTTCCTTTTATTAGCGGCGGAGGAGCCACAGATACTAACCTGTTCCTGGGCGAGTAGTGTCTGACGGTGAGGGGGGACGTCGCTGGTTTGAAACTGTGCGAGGTGGTAAATCCATTGATGAACTGGTTGTTGTGAAACGGTGCAACCTGGTGAACAGAAAAACAGATTTGTGCAGCTGCTTTAACAGGAAGTGAAAACGGCACATATAAGCAGCAACAAGACGAAAAGTGACTTAAAAAGATGATTTTATTTGATAGTTTCAGTCTGATAATTGTGTTTTATATTAAACATACAGTTGCTACACAAAATAAGAGTTTACAAGATCCTCATCTGATCTAATTTAATCAACCAAATCAAAGAAAGAAACTTCACAAATAACCTTCGAACAACTAGAAAAGCTGCTTCTGAAAACAGTTTAACAGATTTTAAAACTATAAATAAGATAATGTATATGTGTATTAACTTTACATAAATGTAAATTGGACCCTAACGCTGCTTTGACACCTTAATGTTCACCTGTTTAATAAAAATGCATGAGTTGAGTTAATGAGTTAAAACAAAAAAATTATATATTTTTTGCTAATATTTGAGTTTTTAAACGTAGATAATTCACTGACTTATTAAATACCACTTCCTGATACTTACCAGCGTGGGGTCGATGAAGCTGTGTGTGGTGGACCAGGCCTGCGGCGTGATGAGGCTGTATAAGGGGAACTGCTGCTGGGGGCTGTAAACCGGCGGGATGTAGTAGGACGTGTAGCGCTGCTGCTGCGCGTACGGGTTCACCTCCACCGGCCGGTATCCGTTCTTTGGCATGAAAGTGTTGATAGCGATTGCCTTCGCCTTTATCCTCGCCTGGGGGAGGGAGGGAGGGAGAGAGAGAGAGAGAGAGAGAGAGAGAGAGAGAGAGAGAGAGAGCGAGCGAGAGAGAGGTTTAAAAGTTCTCTAAAAGTTTGCTCAAATCTGTCACATTATTTATTTATAATTACAATACAGTATTGGTTCCACGTTAGTTTCATTTTGTCGTTGTTACGGCACGATCAATACAAATTTCCTTCCCTAAAAACGAATTTTAAAAAAAAAAGGTCTAAAATTCACAATTTTATACTTTAAGTTTTATTTCCCATGTGAATTTAACGACTATCTCATATATTTAAATATAAAAACACGTACAAATAGTGTTGGAAATGTGGAATATGTGTAAGAAAACAATGATAAAGGGCTGAAATATAATCAAAATGCAAACACTGGAGAAACAGTTTTTAGCAGTTTAATAAATATCTTTATTTTCTTTGGTCCACAGATTTTTCCTTTCTTTAAATTACTCCGTGTTATTAAATACGTATTTGTGCTGCTAGTTATATCACCTAATCAATAAGTAGCAAACACACCAGTTCATTAATTTAGACCAGAACGTAAGAAATAATTGGCCCAATGTTAATTTATTACAGCGTTTAAGTGCATCAGCCAGTTCTCTCTATAACAGAACGTATATTCATTAAGTGTTAATTAAAAGAACCAATACAATAAAACAACGCAGTATATCTGAATGAGAAGAAGAAGCTCTGCTGACTTTTCTTCTGTGGTGTTTATGTTGGATTTTCATACATTTAGAGGAACTACTTGACGTCACTTTAAACCCTCTGAATGAACAAGTGAAGGTCTGTGGACTCTCAACGTGTTTCTCTTCCTGACATTTGATTATTTATGCATGAGGAAAAGAGATCTTTGCCCTTTTTTTTTCCTTCACTAATGAAAATTCAACATTTAAAAAGGCTTTTTAAAGTGCAGAGACGGGCTGAGAAATGTTCCTATTATCACTTAAAACGGACACTAAGTGAAAAGAAGAATGAAGAATTGCGTCTCGGGTGTTGACCGGCACTTAAACCAGAAGGTTTATGGTACAAATTAGTTTTTTCAGTGGGTTTAATTTAGACTTTTCCTTTTCTTTCTTTCGTATTTTATACAAACACGACGGCCACGTGCATCCAGAGGTTATTACATTACTGGGTTAATGTCAGTGTAACGTAATATAATGTAAAGTAACCCACCTTAATTGGCTTCCCTTGGAAGGTCTTCACCTCCTCACGCAGATACTGATATGCCTTTATGAAGAGAAAGTGGACGACACATACGTTACATAACCAGGTGATTATAAATGTAAATGGCTAAGAAAATACTGATGATAAAATAAATACCTGCTGTGCATCTGCTTCTGATTCAAAGGTGATGAACCAGTTGTCGTTGTAGGCAAATTCACAGTTGATGAACTTGGGTAAGTTGTCCCCTTTAAAAAGAGCTTCGACTTCCTGTAGAACAAAGTTATTTTAATAGTTAACAAAAAAAGAAAAAGACCTGTCCAGAAAACAGCAGCTATGCAGCAATAAATAAAAGTTAAAATTAATCATTATTGGGTCATACAGGAACATCAAACACATTTTCACGTTTTGTTTAGCAGATTTAATTTCTGTTGTGTTAAAACATTAAAGTTAGTGTAACATTTAGTGACCTTTATGACACATAACCAATAATTTTAGAGTTTTAAAAAGGTCCAATATGTGTAAACCTCAAACAAAACCAAAACTCACTGTGGTTTCCACACTCGCTTTAAAAACAAGATAACTAAATAAAAAACACTAATAAGCCTGAAAATGAACACCAGAACGTGTTGATGTTGAACAACGAGCTGCTTCTGGAACCACTTTGTTTGCAGGAGAGCTATAAGGTCAATCATCATGTCTGGGTCCTGTTATAAATAATTTAATTGGCTCTGAATTCTTCATGTGGCTGAAGATTTTAAGTACGTAGCAGGAACTGTTGTTGAATACTGATTGATAACAAAAACAACAACAGGTTTCCTCTAAGGATACGATCCAGGTATTTTTTAACTGATCGGTATCGTCTGATATTGGAGGCAGCTCGAGTTAAAAACAAGCAAAAAGGTACCTTTTTACCTGAAGCAAAAGCCTCAGGTAAAGGCTTAAAAAAGGGAGACAGAGATTCCCTCACGGCTTGGACGCAGGCAATGTGTTTCAATTGTCAAGCATATAAATTGGATCGATTTCAAAAACACTGAAGTACTTAAATACAAGTATCGGATCAGGACTCTATCGACAGATACTCAGTTTTAAATGACTCGAATCCACAATTTCCTCCACTTCTAGTGTGCATGCATTTGTTTTTATATCACTTGTTAGTTTTTTTGTTTACCATTACTTTATTTAAGCTGCACCCTCTTTAAAAATGAAAATGAAAGTGCTGCTTTCGTTCAGTCGCGACACCGCTGCTTTGTTTACACCAGGGGATCAGCTGATTGCACTGAAGCCGGCGGGCGTGGAGGCTAGATCAGCGAGTATCTCTACAGAAATCTGGAGACACACAGGAGATGCAGAGGAGGAAAGAAACGGCAAAAGGAAGAGTGAGCGGTGCAGACATCGGAGACTGAAGAAGAGGAGATTTCAGCCGGGTGTCCCCCTCACTATTGGTTCTGAATAAAGCTCCTTTAGCTCAGACTCCTCCCAGAACTCAGGTACATCAGCGGTTGTTGGACTAAAAAGATTCCACTACACATAAAAAACAAAAAAAATCTGCAGCTGCACGAATGTTATTCTCAATTACTGCAGTTGAATTTAACATTAACTGTGTTTCCATAACGCTGAAACAACACGGTACAATATCGCTAATTATTGTAAAAAGATTAATTTGGCACGCCGCGGAGCCGAACGTGTACCGCTGTGATAACTCTCTTTAGCTCCGAGTCAGTTGAACTGGAAAATGTTCCGTCGTGCTGAGGCAGATAAGCAGTGTTGCCGATATCATAAACATCCTGCAAATATTCTACAGCTCCACTGTTTCAGCTGCTGTAGCAAGAAAAAACCCTCCGAGTCTCATTAAACCTCCTAAAAGCTGCACACAGAGTAGCGTGGGGGTAAAGCCTCTGCTGCAGGCCGCATTAGTGGATCAGGACACGAGTGTTTCTCCGTTTAAAATCCTGATCAGGTGTAGCGAACAACAGGTGAGACGTTTAACTTGCTGTCATGGTTTATTCAACTGATTCTTTAATGCAGACGGTCTTCTGCAGACTATAAATGGTCTCCAGATCGCAGAGATTGTGCAGCAGCTTCCTGCCTCTATAGGGGGTCTCTCACATCTAAACAATAACACGAGAGTTTGATGATGTTGTGATGTAGCGTCGGATAATTGCTGATGAAAATCTATCTGATGTGGTAGAAATTGTTCACGTACGATATTACGTATTCATGTCATGTTCGCAGAGTTCCTTCTGAGACGAATCCCCATTTTTTACCGAGAATTTACAACAACTAGAGTTTTTCTTTGGGTTTGAACATCGTTGGAAACATTTGGGATAATGTAAGTACACAACTTAACAAAATATACATTAGGTCTTGAGTTTATAGACACTGTAAGATGGAAATGTTACATATTATAACCTTTAAATTCAGTATTTAAATAAGTGAAATAACCAGATGAGAACATTTAAATGCTTCGCGTACTGTTGCTGGCCACCACTTATTGTTCAATAAACGCAGTATTAATCATTATAATCAATCAACAATCAGACGGCTGGATAAGAAGTTCCACATGTCGACTTCCAGGCACATAAAACCTACATTACTACTCCTGGATTCATCAGTACATGTTCCATATTACAACTGTTTGTTATGTTATTGTCTGTATAACTCTCCATTATGTGCATCTATCACACTATTTCACTAATAAATAAAATAAAAGAACGATAAAATGTAGTTGTGTCTGTAAATAAAAGATGTATCAACAATCGAAAATAGGCCGTGAAGTCAAACAGACACGTTTGGTACCAAAGTACATAAGTTGTGCTTGTATTTAGGGCGTGAGACACTTAATCTGTGTTGACTCAGGCAAACATCTCTATAAACAATAAGAAAGGACTATCTCGTGCGTCCACTGACCTCTATGGGCGTGCTCTCAGGGACCTCTCTGAGGATCACGATGCAGCGGTTCTGATTGGGTCGCACCTTCTCCCCCTTCTCATCCACTTGGACCAACGGCAGAGCTGGAAAATGAAGCGTTCACAGTTCACAAGTAAGTCGCAGTTTGTTTTACGGCGTCTCATCCTCACCAAGCTCATAAAATACGAGAGTAGCTTCGAGCCAAAAGATAGGATTAATTTAAAGTAGTAAATTAAAATGTGTGTAAATCAAACACAAGCAGGTAAGACTCTGCTGAATGCACTTTAACAAACTCTCTCGGGAAATCAAACCCAAACCACGTGTTTAACATCTAAAGCAGGCGAGCAGCCGCCGTTAAAGCTTTACTCTAAACTCTCACTTATTTATTTTATCAAATAAAGTAAAACTCACATCGTAAAATGTCCACGATCAGCTCCACGTCGGTGCTGAGCTTTTTGACGTGGTCCAAGTTGGCCACCGTCACAATTGGCACATATTGGTCGCTGTCCATCTGGGAGATGAGGTACATGTCACTGGCCAGATTCTCCCTGAGAGGCAAAGAGGGAGGCAGAGGTGGTTAGCGACACTTCCAGGATGCGGCTCCGATTGCAGCTGGTGGCCCTCGGAGGTGAAATTTAACCTTTATTTACTCAGATTAAGTTAGAACGCACGTCTCTGATTACCAACCTACAGGGCGCTGTCCTCACCTTAGAGGCAGCGTCACATTAAACTACAGCTTCAAGCTGCTTTGTTTTGAGGGAACCTCTCAGATACTTCAGTCTACAGCTGTTGCACACTTGGCTGCCCAACTTATGCAACTGTGAGCTGAGTGGTTCTCTCAGAGGAAATCCAATGTAAGCGCTCACAGGTTTCACTTTCTCCAAATATTTTCTCATCCAGCGTTAATGAAGCCCTTCTGGTTCTTCTCTACACAGACTCCACCTCATATCTGGTTATTGTCACTTTGATTTTTCTGTTTCTACTGTAGTTTTGGTGAAGAAAGTAAACAGTCAGGGTTTCTACTCTTTTTCCAGGAGGAGTTGCGGTTTTCCTCTAACCGTGACATTAATTTAGCCAGAGCTCATAAATAACGGTTAAAATCAAGTAGAATTTATTTTATTTTACAGGAAATTCATCTTCTCACCTTGATAATTGTTACTTGCACGTAAAATTAATAATTATCAACAGCAACAACTGTAAATTTGTTCATTAACAGGCTGTGTTGTAGGTATATGTGACCGTCTAGAGCTCTTCACATGTGAGCTGACATGAAAACCACCAAAATACTGATTAAATGTTTTAGGACAACGTGGATAATTATAATGTGTTTCCAGGTGTTTTCATGACTGGAAACAGTAGTCTCTTAATTTCCAAGGGTTTCAAACTTAGACTTAATGACTTGTTCCAAGTTGATAAAGGGGAGTAAAAAAAAAAGAAACTTTACGAGGCCTCGATTCCCTTCAAACCAGAAGCTTAACTGCCACTACCGCCACCGCAGAGGCATTCAACAGTATAAAACAAGGCTTTCATTCAGACCACGCCTGACGCCCACACACACAGAGAGAGAGAGAGAGAGAGAGAGAGAGAGAGAGAGAGAGAGAGAGAGAGAGAGAGAGAGAGAGAGAGAGAGAGAGAGACTTGATCAGTATCAAATTCACTGCATAACCCCGACTGTACGATAATACATTTACAGATGTTCATTTTTGTGATTTTAACCACATTTCTCTCGCTGATAATTAATATTATACTAGCAAGTAAGTACAAAAGGATATGAAAGAAAATGTGTATTGGTTCTATGTTGGTTTCGTTTTGTAGTTTTAGTTCCCAAAAACACATTTAAAAGATTTAAAATTCAGGTTTCACAAGCTGTCACAATCATGTTTAAACTTCAGATTATTGGATTTAAAGACCCAGCGGAGACGCACAGATACATCCGCTCTGTAAATCCATCGTCCTGTGTTCTTCGACAGAAAAAAAACAGAAGAAATTCAAATTTTACTCTTTGTTTACATGACGGCGCCTCCTAGTTTTGCATGAATTCGACGGAGCACCGCTCTGTAGACGGTGATCTTACTTCAACACAGTCAACCAAATGTGGCACAAAGCGGTAACGTCAGCGCTCTGTCACCGGCGGAGCAGACACAGTCACACAGCCAGACAGCAGCCCTGCTAGACAACACAAGAGAGCCTCAGACTCTGAACAACAACCCACATCAACTCTCCAGCTAAAATGTCTCCTTCTGTTACAAACACAAACACGCATCTCGTCCTGCACCGTAGCTCGCCGTTGAACGAGCCATACAAACCATGCAAGCACTGGTGGGGGGCTAATTGGCTGCAGCACATTAAGACGGCGTGTAAATGTACCAGCAAATGTCACCTCAGTCTTGTTTGGACGCCCCTATGTGGCCTTTACTCTTCGGTACCACTAACAACGCGCTGCCGGTGACATGAAGGATATAGCACAGGGTTTGTTTACTTGTTGGACACCCCAAAGCACACACACACATACACACAGCTTATACTGCATTGGGTATCTGCGTAGGTGGATTGTGTTCACATGTGAGCAGTGAGGTGAGAATATGTCAAAATCTGCGTCTCATGTGGGTGTTGCTGACATGGAAAGCTTAGTTTTTTTTAGCTTAAACAGAAATGCTGCTTTGCTTCCTTATTTGTTGCCGATGAAGGTTTGTTAACACAGTGGGATGATCTGTTGTGGTACTGATGACAGAAAGCACCGACAGTATATTTCAGGAGGCAGAATTACCAGAGGGGGGGATTCCACCGAGTCATCCACAAGAGCCTTTCTTCTTGCACCTCTTACATTATCACTTAGTGGAGATTTTTCTTGCTGAGGCTCAATCTAAGTGCTATTTCCCCCAATTACCAAGTGTGAAACAGCTGCTGAGCAATGAGAAGTAGACTGACTCTGAGATTTTTAGCACATTTAGCCTGTTGCTGATGTTCTTCTCCCTTCCTGTGTCATATCGTAGAGGAAAAAAACTTACATATTTTTAGAGTTTGAAGTGATATCAACCATCCAAAGAAAAGTACGACTAATTATACACAACGACTGATGGCAACATGACTGCAGACAATTGAGTCTATAATTTAGAGGACGTGAATGACCGGCTTCTCCGTTCTGTGTTTTGGTTCTGAAGCAAAAACCTATTTGCTGAAAGCTTTCTGTAAGTACTCATAGTCTGGTCCCAAAAATAAATAAATTATATATATATAAAAAAAATATATATATATATATATATATATATATAAAAATATATATATATATATATATATATATATATATATAAAATATATATGTTGCGTGTGAAATGATGAAGAGTACACTCACCGGGAAAGACAGAACTCCAAGGTCTTCTTCAGGTGCTCCCTCAATCCCTCCTGGGGATTCTCTTGCTGGGGATCGCTGCCTGTTGACACAAGGCGGACGGGGAGGAGGAAATATGTTTTGGTTAATTAAAAGAGCAATTTAACTAATCCCTGAGCCTGGAAGCTAATGAACCAATGAAATGTAAGGCTGAATAAAATAAACAGAATATGAAGTAGGATGTAGGTTGGGGGGGGATGAAGTTGAGCAAACATTTCAAGGATTACATGGATGAAAAATTACAAGAGAATATTGTTTATTTATACACAAAACATTAAGCGTGCTTTTGAGCTGTTCAACAAGAACTCAACCAGTAATCCAGCTGCAGGAAATGTAATCTTGGAAATCAATTTTTTTTGGCTTTAATCTGGATGAAAATGGTTCTACTTCACATTAAATTTGGTATACAAGTTCCCAATCTTTTCCAGGACATTTTCCAGGACTTTTTCCACTTAAGAGACCCTCATTCTTCTGAATCAACCATAATATAAATTTGGCCACAGCATAGACGAGAATATTTCCAGGATATTTTGTCATATTAAATCAACTTCCAGGTGTTTCCATGACTGGAAAACCTGCTCTCTAAAGTTCCATGTTTTCCAGATTTTCCAGGATGCGTGGGAACCCTGTTCTCCACAACACGTTCAAATCAGTGTTTATTTATTTGGCTCCAGAGTGCCATCAGAGCTCTGGTTAATCTGCAGAAAAGTGCCCCCCTGGAGTTGATCATTTAAGTGGGGTGGAAACTCAGAGACCGAACCTGAGACACAGAGTTTAACCCTCCCTTCAGCTGCCCTATTGTTGTTGTTGTTGTTGACATTCCTTTCAAGTAGAGGGTATTAAGAGATGAATGTATTGTCCCAGTTAGCGTCTGGGACTGGCCAGTGAAACTACAATGCTGCGATAAATAAAACATAAAACAACAAACAGCTCTTAAGCGAGCACCGCTTCCCTCCGGATAATAAATCCTGCTACTTCAGTTTGAGCTCAGCTATTTCAAGACCTTAAAAATAAAAAAAGACAACACTGCTAGCATCACACAGTCAGTTTAACTGCAATTACTCACTTAAAGCTGCCAACGACAACAAGAAGATACAATCTTCCTCGAGCTGAGACCACTTTGACAGCTAGAAATCCCTCAACTGCTTAATTCAGCTGTATTTGGTCACATTGGTTATTTTCAGTGTCTCCCAGCAGTAAACACACAATTTTTAAAATGTATAATAACAAAAATACTGTGTTTGTTGTACTGAAAACCTCTGCAACTGGTTTTAATGCGTCATCAGGTCCCAAGAGAATCCAGATATTGATTAAAACAAAAGCACAACATCATCAGGTGTCACCCCGACTGGGTTTGAAGGTACCACAGAACTAACTGTACCAAGTCTCCGAGCCGTCGTAGAACAACTGCTGCCTGCTCCGACAAACAACCAATCACTAACCAGCCCACCTGTGCGCCCTGGTTGCCCGGGCTCGGGGAACTCTGTGTAGGCTGGCTCGGAGCACTCCAGGGTGACGGAGGCCACGGGGGCCGGCTCGGCCAGCATCACTGGCACCGGTGGAGGCTCATCTGGGTCGGTTAGTAGGGGCTCCTTGTAAGCCTTGTCCTCACTGGCTTCATAGCCTGCGACAATCAACAAGCAGAGGTTTAATAATTAGTAAAAATAAAAAAGGTGTTAGGGAATTTAAGACGCCATTAAAAGTTCAAGTACATTTTTAAAAAAGGATAAAGTTTATGTTTGTCCCTTTTTCTGCTTTAGGAAATGCCCTAAAAGATGTAAGGATCAATCAGTTGTGCTATAATAGCTCAAATTATCAATTGAAACAATAATAAGTCAGTCAGTAATGTGGTAATCTGCTGCTCTGAGCTAATAAAAAACAGAAATATGTTTCATATTAACTCGTATTTTTTCACTTTTACTCTGCTGTTTCGCTGTTAGGCTACTGTCAAAGAAAGTCAAGACTCGAGTTTAAATGTGAAACATCTGAGAAGGAAGTTGTTTCACTGACAGTAGCTTAACAGTAATACTGATATATATATATACACACACACACACACACACACACACACACACACACACACACATATTAAAAAAAAACTATTAAAGTGGAAGTGACTCTGTTAGCGAGGAGAAACTCTGAGCAGGTTGTTGAACTGAATTAGTGCTGAGGAATAAAGATTTTTATTGAATTAAATCAAGACATCAGGTAGACATAGAGGAAGCAACTGCTAATTAAACACAGGAACACATCGGAAAACGGAGACAAAGAAACGTGATAAAATATACTAATGAAACAGAGGAAATTAGAAATAAAAAAAGGACCTGACTCTGATATGAGGCGGTTTCAAATTAAAGCCTCGTTGCTTCTACAACTGAGGCAAACAAACAGGGACCAGGTGAGGTAGCCAATCACACCAGTGTTGCTAAGGCATCGTCAATATTAACACAATTCAACACTTTATTTGGAGAGCCTGACTACAGTATGTAGAAGAGTGCTTGTAAGACAAAAGGAAATATTCACAGTTTATGTTCCACCTCACAAATAAATAAGGTTTCTATAGTTTGATAAAGAAACTAACTAATAAAAGAATCTTTTTCAGTCTTAATTTGTCTTCAATCTGAGAAAATCCATGAGTTGTACTTAAATTGTGAGTTGAGTTTCATCCTTACATATTATACATATCAAAAGACACAAACAGATGCCGGGTATGTTCATGAATTATCACATATTCTCTATAAACAGGGTCCAAAATAACATCTACTAAATGTGGGTACATTTTGGGTTTGTATGTTTTTCTTTATCTGTAGCAGCTGAAATTAATATGACCCTCACTGTCCACCATACCTTTCAAATTTAAAGCAGTTTACTACTATTTGGTGCTTCTTTTACACACCGTCTGTCTGCTTTTGCTCCGGGAAACATCTGCGTAACATGTTATTAGAGATGTAAGGAGTTATTTTTTGTCAAATAATACACGATGCAGTTTTCTGGCTGGTAAAAAATATGTTTGGTTGGTAAATTTCCTCAGTTTAAAAAATTCTGGACGCTGTCGATAGATGATCTGCAGATAAAACTGTTGAAATGTTACAAACTATCTGTAGGTTTTCCATCCAAATAAAGTGTTTTATAGCACATTTTTATGAGCCAAATGGTGCAACTATAGTTCCAGTAACTTGTGACAATGTCAAATAAATTATTTTGTATTATTTAACACATTTATTGAAGGTTTTGTATTTCCTACTTAAAGTTTGGTGTCTCTTTTCCTCGGACATGCAGGAAAGCCTTTAATTTGATCTTTTTAGATTGGTGTTAAATAAATAAGAAGTCTTCAGTAGCTGCAACAGTCGCCATGGGGGGAAGACAGAAAATGCACCGAGACAAAATAAACCCTGACGTCACAATGCCGCTCCCACAGTTTGATTGGCAGGTAATCTCCGGAAAGTGCAGCAGGATTTACAACATTAAAACTGGTTTTTCGAAGGTAGCGGACCTGCAATAACCTGCTCTGTAACCTCCGGTCATCCTTTACCAAATTCATTCATTTAATCTTAAAAACTACATAAAACTCCTCATATATTCTAGAGTAAGTGATTTAAAATGTCCGCAACAGAGAATCACTTTCCAAAGAGCAACGCTGACTACAAAGTTAATACCCAAAGTGCTCAAATTTAACTGAGCCTATACTTATAAAGCTTGTTTACCAGATGCAGATTAAGACTAATCCTTAGGGAGGGAGGCATTAAAAAAGGAGAAATTAGAACGTGCACCTGAATTTAATACATGTAAGACTTAAAAATATTTAATTTAAGGAATGCATCTTTAAAGATTTTAAGAGGATGTGTACTGACAGTGCTGGGAATTAGGGGCAAGATCCCTAAACATTGTTCTTTGTAACATAAAATAATGGTGAAGTCGAGCAGTCATGTTAAGATATAAATAAATCTCACATGGGCTTCTGCTTGACAGACAGGACTCACACAGCGTCACTTTCATTGATTAAAAATGTATTTCAGGCTGAAACAAGTAGAGTAATTCTGCCAGAGAGCGAGTGATTTGCACTCTGAACAATCTAGATATTATCATAACTAGCTAGCTATCATCGGCTGCTGCTGTGGGTTGGATAACTACAGCAAAATAAACTACATTTACCACGTACCATTATCACCGAAGGAGGCAGAGGAATAACAACACACAGCCACTAGAGATACAGTAAATATAGAGTAAATATAGTGACAGGAGGAACCAGCTAAAGAAGCATCCTTCCCTGATGTTGAGTTCATTATAAATCTGTAGTGGTGGATAAAATAAAAGTCTACGACATGAATGTCCGGACTATATTAAGTCTCCAGTCTCCAGCGATGAATTTTCCATAAATGTCCTCGAAGACGTCGGAGATGAAATAAGCCCGGGACGTCAATCAGAGTCAAACGCGGACTAATCAATAATTTCTGTTTCGCCACCACATCCTTGTTGCCTCCGCGTCGGCTAAACTCGGCCAGGGCACATTAAAGTGAGTGATTACGGTCATTTGTGCGGAGGGAACGGTGACTGTGGTTGGAATATTCATAGCTCAGACTAAATTGAGTATGAATGATTTAAGAGGCGTCTCGGCATTACGAGAGAAAGTGACAAGAACGGACAGACGGAGTAAAGTAAAAAGGGTTTGAGAGCAGAGATCGACTGATATCTCACTTTACTTCTCCTTCTATTGAGTTATTAAGAGTTATACTGTTTGTATTCTGACACTTCAGCTCCTTTTAATGCCTCACTTGTTATTCTGTTTAGTGTTTAAAAAGTTAACAAACTGACCATTCGCAGTGTTCAAGTCCAACCAACTCTCCACCAAATACAAGGAATCAAGGTTTTTAAGGGGTTTACACAGCCAGGGGAAGCTTTAATTTTATATTATTTTATCTCTAATGCATGTAATCTCTTTATATTGCCTTTTTGATGAGCACCTGCTGTCCAACCCACAGACATATAACACACAACGCCACGTTGACCACTTCAGCCCGCTCTACTTAACGTTATTGTTGGATTACCGATTTTATTGAGTCATGTTTATATTTAAAGGTTTATGATATACAGGAAGTTGAATTAAATTAGAAAATACAAAAGTTAAAGTGCTTTTTATCCAGAAAAAGCTCCACAGCTCTCCAGTTTACTTGTATTTGTTTACAGGCCGGTGTTACATGTACAATGTACAATCGGGCCGCCAATGCAGAGTCTATGTATAAACGTCTATGGTCCAACATATCTGCTGCGTCTTTAATTACCACGTGACTTCTGTTCACATTTCTAAGTTTCAGATTACTTTGTTGACTTACTACTCTCCTGTAAATATTCATATTGCAGACGCAGAGCATTTACATGTTGATTAATTTGCTATAATAACGGACACTAAGTACAGAAGTCATCATATTTTGTGTCCCAAAATCGTTGGCTGACCTTCTGGGCCGGGGTCGGCCGAACTATCGCAGCCTTCCTTCCATGGCTGCAGGGCAGCAGTTGTGGTGTCAGCACTCCCGCTGGGGTCCAGGCTAAACATGTGGTTGGCCCATGCTTTCGCATTGGGGTTGAGGTCTGAAACCTTGGCGGATTCCTGTGAACAGAACACACAGATTGGTCAGAGATGTTAGCTGAAACATATCTGCATGATTAAAGTGACTTATAGTGAAATAGGAAGACAAATATTTGCACTCATTGTGCTTAATTTAATTCTGAGTCATGAAAATGAAAAAATGTTGTAAATCATTAATCTGTTAACTGTAAAATATATAGACAAACTCACATCCTGTAGCCTACATTTTAACCCTTGAGTGGTGTAAAACATTGAACAAGGAAAACAAGAGCGAAACTAAATTCAAGCAACAAGACAACGAGCACAAACACAACCGCTTCTGTATAAAAACAAGATGTAATCAGGTATTTTAAGTTTGATATGATCCAGGGCCACAGACAGATATGTAACCGTTATAGTTAAACTATAGTCTGTTTTTCTTTTTGCAAGTTATTTAGATTTTTCTTTCCAATATTTTGGTTTTTTAAACCATTTTTTAAATTGACGACATTTTCACTCATTGTACCATTCAGGCTGAAGTATGTTGCTTCACACATATTATGTCCATGGAGGACACTTAGAAGTGCTTAAAAGTCACAATAGAGCCTGTTAGTGACGTTAAGTGTTTGCAGATGAGCCAGGAAACCAGACACTGAAGTGACGTTATTATTTTAGGCCAAAGGATTGTATAGTTTAGCAACACTCGTACAGCTCTTGAGAACTACATTGTTTGGGGACATCAGGAAACACATTATTGCACATTATAACAAACACCCATTGTTTCCCCTCTGCTCAGATTACCGTTAAATAAAGTGAAGAAATAACACCCAAGTGACTTTTTGAATCTCTGCACAATTAAAAGAAGGTTCTGTTTATCACTCAGAGTTATAATCACTCTAATGTTTGTTACTGAACAAACCGGAGCACTGCGAGAGATTTGAGGAGCAGAAATTGGTAACCAAGCAAGTTATTTACCCTAATCAATAAGTGTCCACAATTCTCGTGTATTTTCTAACTTGAGCAAACAGAAATCCTTCAACAGTCACTCATTGATCACATCATCTGCCGACAAGCCTTCCTCAGACCAAACAACATCAGACAGGAACCGTTTCCAACCAGCAGAGACGCTGCTACAAGCTGAAAGCGACCAGGCCAATTAAAGCCCCGACTGCACTGCCGGACATACTCACAGGATCAAAGCAGCAGTTCAGCATGCACGTCTCACATGCTAACAGACTGTAACCCAGAGCCGTGGTCAGAGCCAGCGTTTCATTGAAGTCCTGAGGCATAGCGGGCCAGGCGCTTCCTGGCGGTGGTGGTATAAGGCTCCACTGCATCCAATCCATGATTTAACGCACATAAACACAGTCTAAGTATCTCCACAGAGAGGCAGGGGAAGACTCACAACCAACATTGTATGTCTTAAGCCACAACCAGGGCTCCTTCAAGTGAAGCCGCCGCCGCCACCACACCTCTCTAAAGTCGTCCCCGTCAAAATCACTGCCACGCTCTGTCTGGCCCTCTCCGATTCGAGCTGCTGGGTTGATTCAACAAATCTGATGACAGCACTGAGGCTCCTCTGCCCCGGTGGGCTCGGCTGACGTTGCAGAAGCTGACTGGCTGTCTCGCTCCTGTTAGGCAGGCGTCTCTCTGCTTTTGTTTTGTGGCTGTTGCACTGAGTCATTCTCCGGCAAAAAATACTGTGTGAGCTGTAGAGGGAGTGTGGAGTCGTCGCGCACCTGAGCTCAAACGAAAGCCTGCTCCAGTGATCCACGTGCTAAAAAAAAAAAATAATAATCAACCCTGAGGCGTCGCTCAAATTAAATCAGTCCTCTTGAGCCTCGGTTTTAATAGATTATTCTCCTAACGAGCTGAGTTGCTGAGGCAAAAAAGAAAGGCCGGGAAACCTGCTTCTTATTCAAGTTGAGTTAAATATAGAATCAGAAACAAAAAGGAAGATAGACTGAAAAAGGAAAGAGGGGTTGAGTAGTGAGGGGAAAGAGAGATAAGCCTGACTTGATCCAAGGTGAGCTGTTCCTGGGTCGTATTTCACAAATGCTGCACTACGAGATCATTCGGGATGTGTCTGCTGGCCAGACAGACACATAACCCCCCCCGCTCCCCTCCATCCTCACCCACCACAGCTAATAATCCAGCCCTGCACTAATGTAAAAAAAAAAAAAAAAAAAAAACTCCCACTCCTGTCCGTGCTGGACTGGCTGCCATAGAAACTGTTGCTGACATCACCGGATGTGTACGTTTCTGGGCACCGCTTGACCTTTCAAGATTTTTAAATGTTCCCTTCCTTCAGAGAGGAGGGAAAAGGTTAGCCGTGCTTCCCTGATCGAGGATGTATTTCGGGAGGAGACGAGAGGATGTGATTCATCATGAACCGAAGGACAGAGACGAGTTATTGTCAGTGTCATCGGAGGGCAGCCGGCGTAGCGCTGGGGTTTTATTGCTCTGCCTCTCTGATGGAGGCGAGCTCGCAGCGGCAGACAGAAAGACAGAGACAGCAGCCAGGCAAGAGTCCTTCAGGGGTGAAAACAAAACTAAACAAAAAACAGCTGAATTTGGACTTATCGGTCTGTCTGCAGACCTGAGGCTCATCTTCCCTCTCTGACAGATACAGAGCTGATGAGGGACAGCGGGCCAGATGAGTGCCAAACACTCAGGAGTCAAATGCATCACAAATACCGTAACAATGCCAACCAACTCAGTATCTCTGAATGTAACATAGCTTTGAACCCTCGTGTCTCCAGTAGTGGTTGTAGCTTTCAGACTCAACACAAACCTGGGAGATTAAATTAACAACAACCTACATCTCATGTAGATAAAAAACAAAAGTAAAACAAGAGCTTGTTCCAGATCGATTTATTCATGAATTCAAAACAGGTCTGGTGAGCTCACTGACAACCAATCAGAGCTCTGCAGGCAGGATTAAAACAAAGCTAGCAGGCTACCTGAATGCATCTATGAACAAAGCGACCGGGTGTGTGTGTGTGTGTGTGTGTGTGTGTGTGTGTGTGTGTGTGTGTGTGTGTGTGTGTGTGTGTGTGTGAGATGGATGCGGCTGTACAGGTTGTTGAACGTCGACTTACAGAAATTACACCTCTCATATTTCTTCAATCGCTGTCAAAAGGTTAAAGCAGCTACAAGGAACATTTTATTTGTGTTTGAATCTGGCGGCCCCTGTGGACAACAGCGGTAGTGTATCTGACCCAGTGTCAGGCATTAAGAACATCTATATAGACTTATTGCTAGTAAGTTCTCCTAGCAACAGCTACCACACTTTCATGTCGACGTCAGCAGGACAGATTCGTCTGTGACCCCCTTTTGCCAAACAGAAATCAGCTGACATGACCACAATGTCAGGCTGAGTGAATGAAATAAAAACATGATTATCAGGCTACTGCAAATAAGGCCGAGTAATAATTTATTGCACATCGACTTTAAAAACTGCTGTCCAAATGTATGTTTCCAGGTAAACTGAACCCTGTTTTGTCAGATATAATAAATAACAGTTGAAACAAACATCCTCTGCATCAACATTTTGACCACATACTGGCTAAGTTAGAAATTCAAACTAACTATTTCCCATACTTCAAGATTGCTGAGATGCAGATTATTTGGGCTTTGAATTCTCAGCATAAACTCCCAACTGCTTCACATTTTTCATCAACAACAACAATAAAAAACGAGCCCAAGGCACCACGTTTGACTTCCAGCACTGCAAATCTTTCACACCATCTGTGCAGCAAATGGTTAAACTAAAATGTGTGAAGTTACAGATGCTAGTACTGTGCAATAATAAGCCATGTACAGTTGGTAAATATCAATCTGACCTAGCGTTAGACGGAGACACCAAGCTGTTCTTTAACTGAATGACAAACATCTTTTGTGCATTTACGTTCCCTCTGGTTCTTCAGAGCTCGACTACTGACCAAGAACAAAACTCATTACTTCTGCATTCATACACAAACATTGTTATACCTGCAAATGCTCTTTTGAATAAATTGCAGTTTTCCTGTGTAACGGTAACATTTCCCCAATGAGACGAGGATCTGATCCTCCTTTCCTCTCGTCCATAACAGATTTGATTTTACACGCAGGGCCTATAAATGGGTCATGTTCAATTTCTGGTCTGGTTTCTAACACATATGTGCAAAGCATATGGTGTTTCTCTCTCTGTGTGTGTGCGTGTGTGTGAATAACGAATGAGGTGGAAAACATAAGGGTTCAGTAGCACAATACGCGTTACTACGGCGCCAGTTTGATTCGGGGTTAAACTACATTTTGATTACTTCGATAAAAGAAGTAGATTTCTATACAACTGGGTCTTAAATTTATTGTATTGTTTTCCTAGAAAGTGTGAGTGTTTTTTTTTATTTTACTATTTATATTTTAAGATCTATTATATGCTCTTAGTTAAATTGTTTTATCATCGCCAATGTAATTACTCCATAATGAATACTTGTGCCATTTTAATCCTGATCTGCAGTCATGCAGAAGTAGTTGTGCATCAGACTCTTTCATCTAAATTCTGAGGAAATCAGAGGCAATTTTTATGTGGGTTGAAGTTTCAGTTTTACTGTCTGTTGTCCCAACACTTCTCGTTTTACGTGTTTCCATAAACTGCAAATTTTGAACGTTATTTCTTCATCATTTCGTCCTGTGTTCAATATGCAAAGTAACAAACGTTTAAGCAAATAAAATGTGCATTTACAGAGATAACCTGCACTGAACTACAACTTCTGTGCAGACTTTTTGTGCAGTTTAAGACTTTAAAAACTGACATAGCGTAATGGGGGAAAAAAAGTCTTTAATTTCTCAGGAACCATGACATCCTAAACTGTGTGTATTCAACCCTGGAAGCAGTATTTTGGTTCTCTGACCGCTTTTCCCACCACTAATCCCGGCTTGTAATGAGACCTACAGCCTTAAGGAATTAGCCCACTGGACTCAGCCGGTGGTGGTGGTGGTGGTGGGGGGGTTGCCCCTTGCTTTTCACTGCCAATCTTCTTTCCAATCTTAAGCGTGTG